CGAGCATGATTTTAGCATATTAGCAATCCCACTTTCCTGAATGATACTACTTATTTTTAAATCTGTTTAGAATTAACTATGTGCAGGCTCTATTTCAAACAAATGTGAATGTGTTTGCAGGATTAGAGTTTTAATATGCTGAGTAGATGATCCATTTATTTTCTCTGAATTTGTTAACTGTAATTTGTTTCCAAGATAACAGCACTGGCAGACAATTTGCATGCATACACTCAAATCAGTATTTTAGATTAGGACTTTCTTCTTGTTTTTCAGGGTGAAACATAATTTTGGTAATGTCATCAGGCTGTCTGTATTTTGTTCTATTTACTGAGCTTATGTATTTGCTAAATAATGCATCGCTTCAGGTAAACTACGTATTTCACCTAGATCAAGGTGAGGTTCTACCATAAAAATGACCTTACCTGAGTGGGTTCATCAAAGTTTTAGCAGGGCAACTGGCATGAGCAGTAGCTCATAGGAGTCAGCCAATAATGTCTGGAAAGTAAAAGAAGCTGCACACACTAAAATTTTATAGTTGTTTCGTACCATTAAATCCTGAATTAGATCTTTAGTGTGATCAGTTTGAAGAGAAATGGGCTGTCACTGCTGAAAGTGTTTTTTGGGTTTTATCTGAAAGATGTGCTTTGTCAGGATTCCTGTCCTTAGGGCACAACCAAACACAACCATGTTTGGGACAGGAGCTGTGTTTATTGTATCATTTACACTGAATTTTAAAACAAAATAAATTACCTGTACTGATCTTTTATTTTACATCATTAGGCTCTATTTATCTAGAGACAAGACCCATCCAATGCAAATGTGTAGGGTCCAATCTCGAAGAATTGAGTCCCTACTTAGCAACCACCACAACAACAGAGAATCATAGCTGACTAGGAACATAACACTTAATTAACTGGTCTGAGAAATAGAAATTGGTGCAACATGTATCAGCTGAAAATTCATTTTGACTGGTAAGGGGAAGAAGAGAATAAAATACTCAACATTGAATATTGTAACAGCTGGTCCCTCGTTAAGTTACATAATTCCAAAGCAACCTTACATGTAGTACTTCATTTGCTAGCCATAGAACAGAGGGAAAATCCAGATGACTTTTAGCCAGTTCAAGAAGTTGTCCTTTTGATGCATGACTTGCTATCCATAAAGAAGCAAGATTCTATTCACTTCTTTGCAACCTGAATTATTTTAAGTAAATAATTAGCCTACGTATTTCTTGTTGCATATTCCTACTGCTAGGGAAAGCAACAGCTGGATGTGTTGTGATATGGGGCATTTAATCCTGTATTAAGAGGAGCAGGCTGGTAAGTCTGAAAGTTGTGACTGTCTCTGAATACGTGACCCATTGGTGGTCTGGGCTCTGCAACCAGGAGGCTTCCAAATAAAAAACTGCAGACGCAGCCTCAGCTACAGGCTGACAGATGACCCTTTGATCTGGGGAATGTCATTCTGAGATGCTTTTGAGTCAAGCTGAGGAACACTTACATCGCTGGTCAGCATATGGAGTGTCAAAGACTCGACTCAAGGTTATTGCCACGTTTTTACGTGCACCAAACTCACTCTATAGCAGAGGGAGGGAATACAGAGTGCAACTGCAATTCTTCCTCATGCTCAGGCAATTAAGAAAATAATGCAAACCATACAGGCAAATATCCAGGTATTTTTTAAATGCACATGTCAAGCCACATGCTTTACCTGTGATTCATACAGCTTCTTCCTTGCCTTAAACCCTGTTCTTGTCTATACAAGACTTAGACACGGTGATAAAATCTGGCTATGAGTGAGAACTCCTTTTCATAGGTTTATGCAGCAGGTAAAATACTGGTTTCACTGTGAAATTCACAAATGAATCCCTATTTCAGCTACAAGGCCAGAATATTTGCCAAAGCTCTCTGAGCATTACTCCCTATTTCTGCTACTCTGAAGATTTCATCACTCCTGTTTATAAGAAGCCTTACTTTAATCTTGCCTGAAAGACACATTTAGAGAATCACAATCTATTTATTTCTATATCGAAGAGAGAAATCTACCTAAAACCCCAGTATAGAAAACCTACCCAGTATCACTTAAAATAAAATTCCTCTCAGAGCTGGACAAGTTCTGACGTTATCAATAATGGTGTTGCATAAGGACAGATATAAACAGCAGTTACATTACACACTGGTATCTAGTGCTCTAGAAACGAAAGCGGGAGGAAAAAAGTCAGTGCTTGGAAATAGTCTTTCTTTCCACGTTAATACGCTAGGTATGATGAAAATCCTACAAAGTTTTATAAGCAAAAGAGAGAAAAAAAATAAGCAAGCAAAAAGCTCTATGTGTATTTTTTTTAAAAAAAGAAAGTGATACTTACAATTTTTAAGTTGAGTATTTAGCATATAAGATTGTTTTATAAAAGTTCGGTTGCAGAACCTGTGTATGGTTATCTGCTCTTACCAATGCACATATAAGTAACTTTACTCATGTACGTAAGCATAGGGATGTAAGCATTCCCTACAGAAAGCAAGATGATTTAGTTTTCATTAGATCTGATTAAAATTCTAACAATAAGATACGCAGTGAGTATTGAAGTAAATTTTTCAAATCTAAAATTTTGCAAGCTTGCACATCTTTCATTCCACCAGTCTGTGAGGCTACGTAGGTATGAGTAGCGTGCATGCCTAGCAACTTGCAGTATCAGGGGCACAGACTGACAGCCTGTGAGAAGCAGGGCCTGATCCTTTTCATTTTCAAGCCAGGAATGTATTTACTGAGATTAATGCTGCAGGATCAATGCAACTATGTTTAATCATATAAATGTTCTGAAAAAGAAATGGAAAGGGGAAACAAAGCTAGGTTGTCAGTAAGAAAAGATTGTATAGAAGTGAGTTTGAAATAACTACAGAAGAAAAATTATGTGCCTGAAAGGATGTTATGCTCTTGTATATTAATTAGGATAATGTATTTTTAAAATGCTATTCAGTATGTGTTGGCAGTTCCATTTAAGGGGTTTCTTTGCACAGGTTTAATTTAATGCTCAGCCTTTCATCCTTCACAGGTATCGATAAACTAAAATATTGCAGATAATGCCAAATTTAAAAAAAAAATTAAAAAATCAAGTCTCTGATTAATAGTAAGCCCTGATTCTGCTTAATTTTGCCACAGTATGAACCTTCAGTGGTGGCATGTACTCTTGTCTTGTAAGAGACCCCTCAGTGATGCCACCAGAGGCAGATGTTGCGAGGCCACCAGACACAATGCTTGCCTGCCGGAGCCCCAGCTTGGCATGGAACAGTCCAGGGTGGTTCCCCTGGAGATGCAGAACAGACCCCAGCTGCACTCAGCAGTTTAGGAGCTCACTTGAGGGCACACTCACGTGGTGTGCAAATGGGCTTTGGCACTTGATGCACAGTCCAGACATATCCATCTATCTTAGTCCAGAAGCAGTGACATCACCTGACTGAAACTGGGCAGAGAAGAAAAAGTCCTTCTCAGACGGCTACCAAGGATAATATAGATGTCAAATGCAGGCTGCAAGGATGCCTGGAACTGTGCAGCACTTACGGGAGAAGACAGGGTTCACTGGGGACATAGCCACAAAACCAAGGTATTCTTGACGACAGACAAGGGTCTGAGGAAATTTGATCTGATTTTGTGTTTTTGTAACTCAAATCAGTAGTAGGGGCTTCTAGCATCTCGAGACAGCAATAAAGTGTTTTCCAAAGATAAGCAAATGAATGCAACGTCCATAATCACTGGCAATAAAGTCCACAAAACCATATAATGACTATCTAATTTATGTTTACAACTAATCAAAGTAGTTATTTTTACTAAAAAGTAATGCTACCAAAATATTTGATATTTTTAACATGATTTTAAGTCCCCAAGAGTTTCATCTTTGAATAGCCCTAACAAGAAAGTCAAAGGTGTTACAGCTTCTTATTTTCATATATTATATATGTATTTACATATAAAATATATGTAAATAAAAATTATTTAGGAGATTATAGTGTTTTTCTACACATCCTGTCATGTGCAGCAACTATCACAATGAGCCCATTTACATATGCTACTACTTTATCACAAGCACATGAGAAAAATCTCCTTGCAAGACTTTATGGACAAACCACATCTCAGAACTGCTCCTGCCACATAAGCAGCTCTTTTATATACAAAGTCCAAGGAGAGGACTTTGGTTTTTGTCTGTGGCCCAAATTTTCACTCAGCCACATTGTGTCCACATTGCTGATCATCTACAATTTCATCACTATACAAGTGAAAACTTATGTTTTCATGGGGGAGCTGGAAGTCATTAGGAACTAAATGTACCATAATCTTCGTTTTAGGGTGTTGCCTGAAGAGACATGGGATTGCTTCCAGAAGCAACTTCTTTAAGACTGTATGCCTTTTCTCCCCAGCTTTCATGTCTAATAGGCTGACCTCGTTATAAAATGGCCCAGACCTTTGTTCCTTTTCTGTTTCATGGGAAAATGTAAGACTGTCACGTGGCTAGTAGTCATAAAAGGTTTACTCCATCATTTTAGCTCAAAAAAAAACCCCCAAAAAACCATGCTTACTGGAAAGTTTTGCGGGAATAGACATAGTGAAAAATACACAGCCAAGTAGCAGCATGGCCTGATTTTCTGAATGGGCTTGGGAAATACTGTTTATAATTAGGACCATGGATTGTTACAATTCAGCTGAGAATTACTGAGAATGGGAAACACAATAGTAAATTGTTAGAAAAGATTTCGGTGATAAGGACTCTACTGTATTTCCACTAACTACCATCCCTACGGAAGATCATGCTGAATAGAAAACTCATTTCCAAGGGCAGAAGAAGCCCTGGCACTTTATTGCTAGATTCTATAGCAATAGGAGCTCGCTTACAGTAACCTTATAGTACTCTATATAAACTGAGAAGCTTATATCAAATTCAGGCTTCCATTTAAAATAGATATTGCAGATATTAGGCTTCAATTAAAGAAGAAAAATAACTTTCAGTGCTTCTTTTTTTAAAGGCAAAGTATACAAAAAAAATCACCAAACTAGGTGAAAATTATTAAATTTGTCCACAAAATTAAGATGAGCTTTCTTCTATTTCTTGAGACAGTTTGTGATTCACAGGGTAACTGCTATCAAACACAACTTAATGAAAGCTCTTATAAGCAATTTTATTCCTATCCATAATGACAGACATTTACAAAATCAGAAGAATTTATCATTTGAGTTCACCTTAAAAAATAACTTATAAAGCAGTGATATATGCAACATAAAACAGTTCAGGAGGGGAGAGGGAAAGTAAATTTTAATAATTAAAATGTAAACGTAGGGGGAAAAAAAGATGAAATAAAAGTCCCTACACTTCTCGTTTCTACTTAAGATGTCATGGGATAATATTTTAAAATGTCCTGTGGGTCTATATATGTATGTGTGTATTTCTACATCACACACACATACATATACATTAATCCACACATGTACATACACAGATAATTGTTTGCAGTTCCGTCTTGGGCAGTTCTGTTACGCCACTCTTTACAGTTGTCTCAATCATGTTTGGGACCCACTTTTCTTGACAAAATGGGGGAGATGGCAGAAAAAAAAAGAGGTGGGTCTGATTGTTTCTGAGATCCTTTTGTTAAACTGTACACTGGGATGAATAATTTTCTTCTGCAGTAGCTCTCTGAAGAGGGCCAACTCACTGTGGTCTTCATGGCGAGACTGGTTAACGCATCACACACTCATTGTCATGCTAGGGGAGTACTGAAAAAAGAGGAATCCACATTTTAACAACCGTTTTCCCTCCCCAGGTAATTAAAACCACTTCTGGACTGCAGCAATGATTTCAAACACACTCCTGGAACTTTCTCCTAAATTTGTAGTATAGCCTGTGCTAAGGCTGTAGTTCAATTTGTGGTATCGTAACTTCTTTTGTACCTCTCTCACTATGCAAAAATAGAGCTATTGCTGATAAAAAAACTCCCCTGAGGACTGGTTTGGTGTTACCGGGTGGTGTGATGAACCAAAATCTCACTGATGATTTCCAAATCACTTCCTAGTCAGTGGTGGCTACTGGGGGTATTGAGCTATGTAGGTGGCTAGTCTCAAACAGACCAGCTGCATTCATGGTTCGCTGAACCACAGAAATATTTTGGAGAGCTTTTTACTACTTTATGGGAAGAAACGAGTAAAGGTATATATGACTGGAATTTAACTGGGCCTTTGGTCTGTATTATTCTGTATTATCCATTTCAGTAGGCAAGGAGAATCAAAGATCAGTGGTTATTATCCTTTATGTGAACTGAAAATTCAATCACCACATTACATAATTACTGTAATACAAACTGAACTGCAGCCCTTATACAAGCTATAGTTGTCCTCAAATTAGCCGTACTTCATTACAATAGTCAATGGGACACCGTAATGCCTAGAAAAAGTGCACATCTATATGCCTAATTTGTTTTTAAATTGAAAATTGTGGACTGCAGAAACACTTAATTTGGTCTAAGAACTTCTCAGTAGAGAAAAATGTTCAAATGCAAGGAGCATTACGAAAACTGTTATACGAAACAGAAAGATAAATCTGTCTTTGCAAAAACAGATACACAACAAAAATCCTGTCAAAACTAGAGTTTTAAACTCGCCATTTCCAAGTGTCCAAGCATATTAGAAAAATGGTTTTGGATGGGTCTTCCCTGTCATGTTAACTTCACAGAATGGACTACTGGGGTAAAGTCTATTTTTTCCCTTGTCATGTCTCTGATGATTTGTCTGCTTTAGGGCTTACTCTTAGCATCCCTGCTGGGCACTCCCACAGCAGGCCAGCAGAGCTGGTAAGACCATGCATATCTTTAGCCAAAATCAGAGACCAGCTCGAATGCTTAAAGCAAAGCATCTTTTCAAGTGGTTTTCTGTATCTGAAACAAAGTACCTGGGTGACCAATTTGGACAAGGAATTGAAAGATGATCTAAAGGTGCTTGTGATTTTTAACTTATTATTAGCCAACCACTGTTCCCCACTCCCAACCAAAACTCCTACTGAAAAGAAAATTTTCCTGAGAAAGGACTTTGTAATAATGCCTACTCTAAGTAACCAAGTAATGAAATGCGAATCAGAAAGTCCCCAAGGACTGCAATGTCGCTTGTGTCAGGAGAGGAAACGATACCTATAAGTAGACTAGAATGCGCATGGCATGTATCATGCATGACTTGTAGGCACAAATCTCACATAAAACCTTGAGGAAAGGGAGTCCCGGGTTCTTCTAGGTAGGAAAACAACATCTAGGAGTACCTAGAATCCACTAAGTGTCTGAGAAAACCGTTTTTCTTTTGCATACAACCAATGGCCTTCTTCTCATGACCTTAGTTTGGTGAATGGGCCTGCTGGCTGATCACACTGCCTCCCCTCGGTACAACCAATGTGTGTCAAATTGAGAGTCAAGGATTACACTGATCAAAGATCACATTTAATCAAGGTTCTGTGGTCACTTTTCTTTGGTAGATATTGAAACATCATTCTTTTGGGGTTGTAGAAACCAATTTTCTCCAATACTCCACGCAAACTGAACATGTGCCCTCTTTATGAAGACAGCAAAAGTCAACATGCAGAAACTATTCCTTTTCACTTAAAGAAGCAAACAAAAAAAAAACCCCAAAATCTGATTCCCATTAGATTTGTCATGCAGTTCGACTGTTTTGTGATCTCACAGAAACTGTTTACTCATCACAGTTCCTGAGCTGAAGTTCACCACTGGCATAGTTAATGAAGTTGCACTCACTTCTGGCAGCAGTGATTTCCAATAAGAACAGAAGTGTTGAAGTCACTCAGCACTTCTGAAAAATCAGGCCACTCTTATTTAGGAACCTAAATGTGGATTTAGAAACCCAGCTTCAGGCATATGAGTATGAAAATACTATATTCTTGCTTTGTAATGTATTTTACACCATGTTTTGTGGCCTCAAGCCCTCCCCATTTTAAAAAAAAACCAAACATCATTTGCACGAGAATGAACACTAGGGGGAACCTTTGCTTTTCCTGCCCGTAATAGCACAGTGCATCTTTGCAACGGTAATGGTGGTCTAATTATACACTTCAGTGTGAAAGCCCTGCTAAAAGAGATCTCCTGCAAAACACATTGTTTAGCACTCAAAGGTTCAGCAACCACACACTGAGACACTCAGATGTAAGCATCTGTCAGCTATGTGTATTTAGGCTGCTTGTATATTGCTTGACAAATGCCCATTGTGTATTTGTTAATACATGTGGTCTAATTATTCCTGCTTGACAGATCTAACTTGCATTGAGAACTAGCCTCTTAAATGTAGAAAAAGAGTTTCTGCAGTAAATCTACACCTTCCAAATTTTCCACTATCACCTCAACTTCTAGCAGTCTTTTGCACATTTTTTCGTCAAACCAATACTATAATTTTAGAAGCTAGTAAAAAAAATGTAAGGCACAGCACTGCATTGCAAGCACACTACACAACTGTTTTCTCTTGCTGTTATTTTTCTTTTTATTAAACATAATGACAGAGATAAAGAAATAAAAAACTATGTAATGAAATACTTACGCTCTCACTCTGAAAAGGGTTTAGGAAGTTTCCACCCATCTCACCATCATCCCTGGGAGTGCCAGGCTGATTACTCATGCTCATATTACTGGGAGAGTTCTGTTAAATGAGATTTTGAAATATATATTAAATGTTGAAGATTTTAATTCATTTTCTAGCTTCACCACGTGTGCCAAAGCACACTTTACACAATACTGTAGAGCACCAAGAAGCACTGTGCACTGCACTGGGATTTTCAAAGATGCAAAATAAGCCTCTGCAGGCCTCTGCATGATTCAGTCACTAATTTTAGCCTGTAAGGTAATGTTTTCTTCTCTGAAGCAAGAATTACTTACTTGTAATTCTTGCTTTAAGGTCACCACTATCATCTTCACCTGCTGAAGTCAGGAAAAGCTCTAACTGGCTGCAGCAGGCAGGCGATGTAGCCCTGTCACTACATCAAAGCACGTGGTCAAATTCAGTGAAGTCTGTAACCATGTGCCTTAAGTGACTTATAGAAGTACGTAACTAAAGGCAGATGTATGGATGGATCTGGTCTACACAGACCTTTGCCAAAGCCTGTGTCTGGGGTCTTTGCTCATAGTGTTCACATTTTACTGAAATACAATTTCAGAAGTAGCTCACCAGTGTGGATTAAGTGCTAAACCACTTCACTGTCAAGTTTCAGATAAAAGACTCTGACCACCCGACTGGGCTCACAAACACTTTCAGGAGGAGCTGTACTTTCACCATTTGCTTGCACTGAGCATAATGTAACAGGGTTTTAGTCTACCTTTTCAGTATCTAGGTGTAACTAAAATGCTAATATATATAAAAACATAAATGCTTCTAAGGATAAATTCCTTTTTCTTGTGGAAGTGTACAGCCACCTCTGCAATGTTCACAAAATGCTTTCAAGACTCAGTTACTTAAAGAAAGGGTGAAACAGGGTAATTGTCACAGAAATTATTCTGCATCAATAGCTAATATATGATTAGTCTAGACACTACAATCAGTTAGGTGTTTTTACAAAGCTGATTTGCAGTATCTTAACACACCTGCAGCATGGGCAATTCTTTTTCCATCACTGTTAAGATTTCTACATATAGAGGATTTGTGATGGAAAAGGAATAGTCAGGGAAAGGAGGGAATAAAAGTAATGAACTTCATTATGAAACATTTACGTCTACCACAGCTCTTCCTTTGACTTCTTTTCTTAATCAGAAAAATGGAATAGTGCATTGCTGTTGAGATTTTACTTACACAAATGCAAATGTGTTATGTCACAATAAATTTGACACAAACCTAGTGCAGTCAATGAGGAAGCTAACAAAATGCAACTCCAAGTAGTGTTCTTAATCAAAATGACCAAATCATAACGGTTTTAAGAATCCTAAGTGAATTTGTCCTCTTTTTCATGTGTTATTCTCAACTACAATCCTGACACAGTATGTCTGTTAGTGTAGAGAGTTTTTCTTTATAAAACCCCAGGTATTTTTACACTTTTAAAATACCTGCATGCAGTCTTCATTTAGTACAACTGAATCTACAATAGGTCAAACTTTGAATGAAAAATTGGAAACATTAAAAAAAAGAGTAAGTCCCTTTAATTTCTTGGCACTTTCCTCAGAACTCCAAAGGCTATCTAATCTACCCTGGCACTTCAAAGATGTACATCAAAGTGTTCACTGAACGACAAATGGGATGGGGTAGCTATGACTTCTACTTCCTGTTCATACTATATCTCTGCATGCACCTCTTTGCAATCATGAAGTCCCATGTTGACCAGTGGTCATATTGCAAAGTATTCCACTGTTCCACAAAGTTACTTTAACTCCAGGGAGAACAAATAAAAAGTGCTGTTCTCAGCTTCACCAAATATCAGAACTTAGTTACTTTCAGCAGACTGCTGCGCAGTAGAAATGACCAAGTATGTGCATCGGTCCAGTTTAGAATCACAGAGTCATTAATGTGGAAAAACCTCTAAGATCATCAAGTCCAACCATCAACCCAACACCACCATAACCCCTAAACCATGTCCCAAAGCACTACGTCTACATGTTTTTTGAACACCTCCAGGATGGTGACTCCACCACTTCCCTGGGCAGCCTGTTCCAATGTCTCACCACTCTTTCAGTAAAGAATTTTTCCCTAATAGCCAATCTAAATTTCCCCTTGTACAACTTGAGCCCATTTCCTTTTGTCCTATTGCTTGTTACTTGGGCAAACAGACCAACATCCACATCCCTACAACCCCCTCTCAGGTAACTGTAAAGAGCAAAAATGTCTCCCTTCAGCCTCCTCTTGTCCAGGCTAAACAATCTCATCTCCCTCAGCTGCTCCTCATAAGACTTGTTCTCCAGAACCTTCACCAGATTCCATGTCCTTCTTTGGACATCCTCTAGCATCTCAACATCTTTGCTGTAGTAAATGGCTCAAACCTGGACACAGCACTCAAGCTGTGGCCTTGCCAGTGCCCAGTACAGAGGTGCCATCAATCCTCTGCTCCTGCTGGCCACACTGTTCCTGATCCAGGCCAGGATGCCGTTGGCCTTCTTGCCACCCAGGCACACTGCTGGCTCATATTCAGCTGGCTGTTCATCAGCACTTCCAGATCCTTCTCTGCCAGGCAGCTGTCCAGTCACTCTTCCCCAAGCCTGTAGCATTGAGTAGGGCTGTCATGACCCAAGTGCAGGACCCAGCACTTGGTCTTGTTCAACCTTATACAGTTGGCCTCGGCCCATTGATCAAACCTGCCCACGGCCCTCTGCACAGCCTTCCTGCGCTCCAGCAGACCAATATTCCTGTTCAATTTGGTGTCATCTGGTGTCATCTCACTGAGGGAGCACTTGATCCCCTCATCCAGATCATCAATAAAGACATTGAACAAGACTGGCCCCAAAATGGAGCACTGGGGGACACCACTTGTGACCAGATTTAACTCTGTTCACCACAAGTCTCTGGGCCCGTCCACCCATTCAGTTTTTAACCCAGCAAAGAGTACACCTGTCTAAGGCATGTACACCTGCCTAAGCTTAGTGCATTTGCTTTCAATTCCAGATTAAATAAAAAATTACACAAAAGCATAACTCCATGATTAGCATCTGAAATGCAGCTTACAGACTTGCATCAAAACCTGTGCCTTAGCCCTTTTGCTTTTTTCACTGTTCACTGTGTCTGAAACTGTGATCCCTAGATCACCATGAATCATTGGACAACAGGTCCGTCAAAGGCAACTGAAAGCCTAACTAGTTGATAAACATCAAGGCCGGTTTGCTATCCAGTGAATTTAGTACCACAAATATTTAGGATTCACAGCTTGAAATGTTGAAAACTATTGCTTTAGTTCAAGCACAGTGACTGTACCTTAAGAAGGAATTCATTCAAAGAAGTCTGTTGCCTGTGTTATGCAGGAGGTCATACTAGACAATCATATCAGTCCCTTCGGGACTTAAAATCTATGAATATAAAGTTTAAAACCCCCTAAGGCCTTGTCACATTTATTTTATATGATGCTTGTGCACACATTTGTTCATTCCTGGGAGATTTACCCCTATTTTATCTTGCTCTGTGTAGCACAAAGCTTTGAAATTCTGCAATCGCTACAGTACACCAGCCCCAAAGGTTCAAATTCCTGACATAAACACTTTTAAAGCAACTCCCCTGGGCTGCTTTTATGGCCAGTATGGGGTCTAGCATTGTAGCACTAGCTGAGTTTTTCCGAAGTGAGTATGTCTTTGATGCCTGCATAAATTCCATGTGCACTGCAGGAAACACTGGTTATTAATGTTTATTTAATATGCATAATTCCAGTTCATTTACTCCCCCATCTCAATCTACTTAACAAAAAACTTCATGTTTTGCAATTCGGCCAATTAAATTAAAATCTTCTTTAGAAAATGTAGCTCTGAATCCCGTGAGCTGTACTGATTCTACGAAGACTGGATTAATTTTCCATATCTCTTGGGAACTGATAATCTGCTCCTATAACACGCATTTTATTTCACTGAAGTCCTGTGCCTGGACCTGATACAGCAACACATATCAACACACCTCCAAACTGTGTTAACTTCAGTGAACAATTTCCATCACTGAAAAATCTACATATGAAAAAGTCAAGTGCAAGACTAGCTGGCAATGTATGCAGGGCGACTGTTGCCTCAGAAAGAACTATCCTGATAACTGTATACAAAATTGGAAGGCAGCCAATGTAATAATTTTGCATGCTTCAACCCCAGAAATCTACTATTGCTTGCAAGCAGAACCCTTCCAGTCAAATTTCAGTGCTACCCACTCACTTTTACTACTGTCGATGGAGGCAGCATATTGGGCAGTGCCACCCAGAAAGAGATACGATGGTCTAACAGGACAACTCTGGTACTTCCAAAGTTAGTGCCATTTTTCTTTTAGTTATTCAAAAAAGACATGCATCAAATGTCATTTCCATGAGTTAATTATTAAGATTAACAAATGATGAGGCTTCCAGGTGGATTTTTGCATCCAAGTTTCCAGAGCTCCTGATACTTGTATTAGCACATAAACCGATATTTAATATTAGTGAGTTGAATAAAGGCTTTAGAAAATAATACAGTGGTGAGCTAAAGGAGATGCTTTGGGTTTTTTCCTTAAAAAATGCTGCAGTTTGCAATAAAAATACTGAAGAAAAAATATAGACATTGATTTAAAAAGCCTCTCACTGTAGGCTTTTATTGAATCCATCGCTGCACATCTGAGCACAGCACAACTAGGGCAACATGGTCATTTCAATCCATCACTTTACTCTTTCATAGCCTGAAAATGTTATAGATCTTAAAAACATATGAAAATATAGGATTGCTATGCAGCAATGGCCTTGGACAGGTATTGCTGAGGTCCTTCTCTCTAGGAAAGACAAACATTAAGCACACTTTACAGCCTACCCCTCTAACATACCACACCACCAGAAGACCACAAAATGGGGAATCATAGAGGGTCCTCCTCCTCCTGTTTGGACATACAACTATCTTGGACATATAACTATCTGTCACTAAGTGAGAGATGATTTGCCTGAATGATTCCTGCCTTTTGAACACCTGGAAGTGTACTCTTAACAAATTCACACTACACACATCTATGTTAATCCATGGGACTTTAGTGAGCGTTCCCTACATGTCGGCATCTCACTGTAGCTCCTGAGAACAGATGTATAGCAAGGTCCCCAGTGTGACTGGAGCACATGCAGACCAGCCTGAGCCAGATTTGAAAAGCAGTGGGAGAGATCTAGTGACAGCACCATGGTACTCAGTCCCAGGGCAACTGAGAACATCTCAGAACAATGATACGCTCAGAACAAACTCATACTCCTCTCTTGGAAGACTGTTAAGAATTTTGCCATAAATGAATGAGTTGTAACATTTTAGCTAAAACAATCTCTCCATCAATTTCTCTATTTACAGATCAAAAGTACAAAAGAGCGGGGAGATTGTTGTAGTTATATATATATATTAATTAATATCAGTTTCAGTCAATTACATCTGAAGATGGTGCATACAAAACATAGTATTTTGCAGGAGACAGATTTATGCCACTTTATCCATACTAAATAAGTTTATTAATTCCTAAATTAACAATAATCACATAGGTAGTAGCTTTATTTTTATAGAAGAAGTGATTTATTCAAGCACAGTATTATTTTTGTAGATGCAAAACCCCTGCAGATTAAACTTGCATTCACTTGCAACTGTTTAATGATTGCGATATCAAAATCATGCTTTTTCTGAAACTACTACTTAATCTAGCTTTTATGAACTTATACTAATAATTAAGATATTAACATTGCCTTACAGAGGTGACAAAACCAATCAGGCAGTGATAAATGTAACATTCTAATGACATTCTCCCAAATCTACATTTAACTAGAATTGATTATTAGTACTATATTAATTTGTCTTTACAGTATGGAAGATTATAACATGATCAATCAAATTATAAACTAATATAAATAGTCACATTCATTAATGAACATTATTAAGCAGTAGGGAATAATTCTACTCATACTCTCTATTGACTGCATTTTTAAAAATCTTTAATTAATACGAATTCTGTCTGCACAGCCTCCAAGGAGTTGACAAGCAGAAAATGCAGATACATAACAGAAAGCTTTTTAACACAGACAAAGATAATAAAAATTTTAGAGTGAAGCATTCTAAAAATTCCAAATATTTGATTAGATACTTACTTTGGAAATACTGTCCATGTCTCCTGAGCCTTAAGTGAAAATAGACAATTATTCAGTTAGTTTTGAGCTTACTTTGAGTTTTGAATTAACCTAAGATTTTTTTTCATTCTAAATATATAGTGCAACAGCAATATTTTAAAACATAGCCAGCCACATGTCATCTCACTTTCTTCCTAATGTCCTTTTATAAAAGTTTACAGTCAATATTGAATAATCTTAGTCTTTTCTCTGTGTACACACTTGGTGTAAAAAGTGGGACAAGAATGAAGGCCACACTTTTGATCTTTGTCAGTTATTTGGATGGCATCCTCTCAGGACAAGACAAACCACCACAACTCAAGAAACCATACCTCCAACCTCCCTGTCCTCTTAGCCAGGTAATATAAATAATTTGGTGTATATTCATCTATAGGAAACATTTCTTCAGCTTGGGAAGACAAAAAGAAAATATGAAATTACAGCTAACTAGTAGAAGTTAAAAATTCCTTGGAAGAAAAAAAAAAAAAAGACCACTATTACCACTAAGGTCAGCTGAAGGGGGTTCATCAATGTCTCCCAAACACAGATGCCTAGTACTGAGATTGGCCGAAATCATACCAGCTTTTGATGCATTACAAACACGGGTGATATCACTGTCTTTCAAGAGGAACGCAAATGATCTTGAGAGTCAGAGTAACAGAAACCAAATAAAATGAAATATAATGAGTGCATGACTACTCAAAAGATTTTTTTTTCACATGCTGTAGCTCTCCCTCAGGTAAAGCCAAGAATAAAGAAAATGTAACTGTAGGATGCATGTGTCAAGAAAAGCATTTTTAGCAGCAACTGTTAACAGACAGTAAACAATTCTGGTCACCTGTTTTCAGGAAAGACTAATATTAGAAGAGTACTGACTACAAAACTAGAAGAGTTTCAGAGAAAAACAATCAGGAAAATGGAGTTGCGGGAGGAGACTGAAATAGCTTACTATACTTAGCCAGACAAATTAAGGCTGAGAAGGAATATGATTTCTCTCTATAAATACATCAGATACATAAATGTTATCAAGAGTTATTTTGTCATGGCGCAACAGATAACTTTTGCTGGAAATCAGGAAAATATTTCTTTATAACCATCAGAGCTGTGAGCAGATATCCAATAGAAGGGTTTTGGTCAATGAAGCTGCAGAAGGTCAAGATAGACCTTGACCAATTTATCTATCCAGTTATGAGATAAAGCCACCCATTGCTGCATGGAAATGAAAGCAGTAGATCACTCCTAGCCCTCCTCTCTTTAAAGAACTCAGGTTCCAGTTCAGATATGAAGTTAGCCCAAGGAAGCAGACATCATTAGTTTGTTTAAGCACTTCCTCACTTTCACTACAGAAAATAACTAATGCTAGAAACATGCAAAACCCCTCCATAAGTGTTTAATTCTTTCTTTTACCAAAGAAGTAATTCTTAGGCTCTAGAAAGTGACAGAAAAAGATGTATCTTTCACGCAGTTTTGCATGTATTTGAATGTAATGTGCATAATTCTTAATTAAAGCGATAATCCATTTTAGGATTCTAGCATGTAAAGGCAGGCTGTACAATCACAAGGTGTCCTTATGCAAAGTCATCTAGGAATTTCAGGAACAAGGTTTCCTAGAAAAAAAGATAATTCTATTAGGAGATAGAGGCCTACTGCTGAATTTTAATTGCTCAGAATATGTCTGCTAAATGAGGTTTGATGGCTTAGTTTTTTTCTCATTTTGTCATAGTTTCCTAGAATTTCTCCCTTTGTCTAACCTGTTTACACTTCCTATCTCACAACCTCCAACCTTTGGGCTACGAGTGGCAGACCTCCACCCCTGGTGGTAGTATGGATTTCAGTGGTAGAGTTTAGGTTGGTCTGTGCCTTTGCTGGGAAGGAGACAGAGGTGTTTTTTTGTGATAGAGGCAAGGGGAACACTGGCAGCTTGGCTTCTGTCTGCCTGACCTGTACCTAGCTTGCCTGGGTTTCTCCCTCTAAAGGAAAACACTGCTCAGCAAGATGCTGCTGGTACCCCTTGGGAGTATCAGGCCACAAAAAGATGGTGGATCAGGGAGGCAGAAGAAGAAAGAGATCTCAAGTCTAATCACAGTGAAAGGCTCCCCCTTGTTGCCTGCATGAGCGACAGCCCTTGGTGCAGACTGAAGTGAAGAGCATGACATGGGAACTGTATTCAGAGCGACTGGGCTGCTACTGGGGTATAAGCAGAAATTGAAACAAGGTATTTATTTACCTTATGGATATAGAAGATGAAGGTATAAATGCAATTTATTTAGCTGTGGCTTGTTTCTTTAATGCCTTTCAAGTGTCTATCATGCTTTCGACACAGAGTAAGAGCAAAGAGTTCGCTAGGACAGTCAGGAGATAAAGCAGCGTATGTTTTGCAGGTGTTGTGCAAGGCTTCTCCTCCCGATACAAGTCCTTCAAAAACTGTAGTGTCAAAAGCCAAGCAGTACCCTGTTCCTACTGCCCCTGCATGGCCTCACAAGAATTCTTGTTATTTTGGGCCCATTAAAATAGGCACATACCTGAAGCTGCTGATGAGGATGGAGTAATTATACTCACACTTAACAGACATATTACTAAGTATAGAACAAATGAGGGTATCAAGATGTTGGGAATAAAACCAGCTTAACACATACATCAAAATATATAGTAACTTACTTCAAGGTAATAAATAAGAACATAAAACAAGCATGTCACAATGACACTTTCCCAAGACTTTTAAAGAGGAAATGAAGGAAATGTAAGCGGTTCTTAAGCCTTCACCTCCTCATTACTGTGATGGTAGGCTTTTAGACTGGTTTTCATCAACTGGATTAAATATATAAACAAATTGCAGTATCTTTCATCCAGACATGCACAGGCTATGCCAACTCATACGCTTAAAATGTATCTTAATAGTTCTTAGAGATGTATATACAGCTTCTTCAGTATTTACAAGATTTTTACATACAGTCTTCCACGTCAGTCAGAGAACTAGTCAAAGAAAACGGCACCAGTCATTTAAAATTCACAGTGTCATAATATTTACTATCATTACCTAATGATCCATTCATATGATGTGAATCCATTCCACCCAGTCCACTCATAGGTCCATCTGACCCTGGCCCCATTGGAAACTACAAAAGGATCAGACATTAAAAACTGGTATTACTGTACATTTTTTTGTAGATAATCTAATAAAGAGAAAGTATTTCTCACAGAAAAAAAAAAAAAAAGTAAAGGAAAAATGCACAGTTCCAGCTCTGAATGTGCAAGTTACGTGAAAGTCTTTCATCTGAAGACTGCAAAAACATCACTGGTTTTATTCACTTTTTAGGCTGCTACTTTCATGATTTTTGGAAACTCACACCTCTGTAGGCTAGAATATTATTTAGTTAAACACCTTGTCTATGAGTTTCAAACGTGCTTTTGCTGACCTAGCCCTACTCTCAGTGAAGTTACAGGGGACTTCATGATCTTCAATGAGCAAATGATTAGCAGCTTTCAAACCCCACCTCATGCATACTGACAGTTGGACTACTCCATATTACCTTTGCAGCATGAACAGCTTCCGTCAAATTTCTACAATTCACTGTATAATGATTTAGCAATATTTAATCATCTATATTTTTGAGTTCTACTAGCCTTTTTTTTCCAAAAGGCCCGTAACATGGATTGCGATTAAATGAAATACGGCTGAAATCAGAAATATAATAAAACTGAAGTCATAAGGAAAAATCAGAAAAGAAACAAGTTCTACCTAAGAATACAGATTCCTGTTAGCTCTAGAACTGCTGAAATTCAGGCTAAAATAGTCATAAGTTAACTAGTTCATAGGGCAAATACTTAGATGTTATCAACATGTTTCATTCTTGACATCCCACGTAGATAAACAGGGAAGTTCTTTTCTTCTCAGAGGCATTATTTTTACCCTTTTTTACATAACAGCAGTGCAACATAACACTGAGTTGCTTTCAGCAATCTTCTACTACCTTTTCAAGGGCAGATATTTTTTCATAACACAAGTGCTGCAGAAACAAATGCTCAGTGGCAGCTCCTAGGATGAGGTCCTACCACACAGAAGTCTATTGCACCACTGTGTGACAAACTAAGTCATTCCCAAGATCCACATGCAGAAGCTTTTCCCATGTAGAAGACTATGCTCCAATCATCACTTTACATGTATTAGCATGAGTGACTTGGGAAACATGGAAAAGTACACAGAGGGAGTGGGGAAACAGCTGAAGTGTCACCCCCAAAACGGAAAACTCAGTATTAATGATATGTGACAGAAATGTAGTGTTTGAATAAAAAAAGGCCGCATAATTCGAAGTATATAACTAGATTCATATTTACATTAGGTCTGTTGGGTCCAGGTGGTACTGCATTCATTAAAGTGTACATGTTGTCTCCAGAGTTGGTTGAATCTGTAATAAGAGATTATTTTAAGTGCTAATATATACCTTTCAATAAAACCACTCACCTAATACATTTCCTGTCATTATGTTCACATTTTTTCTGTGCCTGAATCACGGATACACAGTGGCAATATAATGGAAGATTTCATTCCGTTTCTATCTATTGCTACCACACAACAGAGCTATGAAAAGAAATAATTGCAATGGTCCCTAAGCGACTACTTCTAGACTCCAGTTTTATGCATGACTGTTAAAAGGTTTATAAATCACCAAGTATCTGTAACTATTTACTTCCACAAATCCTTTTTCCTAGAGTTCCAAATTACTTCACCCATCTTCTATATTCTCTGTAAAACAGCAGTTTCTTTCTTACCAATACTTCCTGTAAATTGTTTTCCATCTGTACTAAATGATAAATAGCTTCTCATTATACAGACTGCAAGTTAGTATAGTGAATGCAAACTTTTTATTCTTGTCTATGTCAGTCTTTGATTTTGGATATATCTATAAAAATTCAGTGGAACATTGTGCAAAGATCTGTGCTCTAAGGACAACTTTAACTGATGTATCTTCATAGTACAGTGTGCTGCAACACTGCAGAAAAAAAATGAATCCAAAACCAAAAAAACTCCCCTGGCACAGCAGAGTGCCTAAGCCAGTAAGTTCTGCCAAGAGTTTCTCTCGGCCCTTCCAGACACTGGCACAGCTATATTGCATCTCAGCCCTTTTCCTCCAATGTACGTGAACTTTCAAGTGGAGCACCTCCAGAACTGAAAGGCAAGATTTAACCAACAGGACAAATAGAAGACAATGCATATAACTCTCCTGGTTGAACTTAAGAAAAAAATGCTTAAGAACTATTAGTAGATACAAATCATTTGTTCTGATCTCCAACTTATCCCCACTGCTAACACACACAGTCTTAATACCCTTCATCAATATTTCTAAGAAATAAAAGGCAAAATATGCAGCAGGTACATAGACAAATTAGACAAAACCCTTTCCCAAGGCAACTTGGCAAGACATAGGCCAAGTACTGAAAAAGTTTACTGAGAGGAGAATGACCTAAGGAAGGTCTAAATACATCCCTAAGGGGACAGAATGATTTTTAAAAATATTGTCAACTCTGAAAAATCAGTACCTCTACATTATCTGCAAAAAAGAATAGCTTAGTACTCTGTACCTAGCTGCTCCAGAAGACCATTCCACCTCTTTGAACCAGAGTTCTGAGATTAACCACACACAGAAAAAACCACTGCTGAGCTGTAATTCTTTTTCCAAGAAAAGGTGATAGGGGACTTCTGAGTGAAAGTAAGAAAGCCAAGACCAGACTGAAATGCGCTGGAACTGGGAATGTGGCCTGACTTTCCACAAGAACGTTGAGCATTTAAAATCAAGATCTTTGTCTGTTCCTTAATATTTCCAAGACTGTTTTCTAAGCACTAATTAACCATGGTGAGTAAATAACTCCATTACATACAGAGCACTACGCATCACCACAACATTCAAATATGTTGTTTAAAGAAGAGAGGAAATAAAAAGCTTTTAACTTGAAGTTATCAAAGTAAAATTAGCACTTTTGAAAGTGATTTTTAATGTTCAGTGAGGGTGGCAACAAGTTCTTCAACCACTTTATGCAACACACATCCCTGGCTCTCCCCATGGTCTTCAGGCTCATGTGAAAATACACACAAGCTTGTCAGGCCATGAGAACCTTGAGAGTTGTTTCCTCTCAGAGGCAGGTAAATACCTTTGCAAAATTCTCAGGCAGCCAATTTCTACATGATTTTATACTTTGGAAATCAGAGCCTCAAAACACCTTTAAGTCTCTAATTTAAAACGGGAACAGCAGAAGAAGCAGAAATTTTACATGAGCTGCACACAGACAGTCTAACATGTGGCATAAACGCAGTGCAGACTATTTTTAAAAGTGGAGGCTGTCCATAAGTTTGTTTTATCTTAAAAGAGACTCTAACTTTTAAATGCCAGCTTGAGCTAATTATCTTTTCCACTAATGAAAACAATGAACCTACACTTTATCTTCGGTTGCAATTTTTTAGAACCCTCAAATTGTATTTAATGAAGATACTATATTTATTCAAGAAGTCTTCATGGACAGTTAGGAAACTTCCCTACCCACTGGTGCCATAGAGGATGGCAGGAACATGTAGCACATAAGAACTGAAGACACTGTAACATCACTGCAATAAACAGGGCCCTCTAGGTGGTTAAAGTGAGTTCCAAAGGCAAACATTGGCCAAAAAGAGTAGCTATTGAATACTAAGTTACACAAGATGCATTTAGTTTCATTTTAGCAGATTTCTGGTAATGTCCATGAGGAGGACAGCATCTTCCCCTTCCTGGAGTTCCACCTTCATATCAGAACCTTTGCAGAACATCGATGCAGAGAAATAATTACTTCTAGTTGATCACCTTTAAACCTCGAGAAGGTAGCTAGCCATCCTGAATCCTTCCATCCTCCTCCTTGTTTCCTTAAACCTTAGTAGCAATGTGGCCCATCTTTTGCACACCCAAAATCTCTGTGTGACCTGAGCTGCAAGACACAGAGCATGTCACTTGGGGAAACAATGGAGCAGTTGAAGTTCTGGGAACAGATAACTAGCACGACATGATGATGGCTTTTCTGGGGCTTTACTCCTCCACTGAAAGACAGAGGAGAGTCTGCCCAGCATGATCCTGCTGTCATCCAGATGACATAGCTGCAGGATGCAACACATCACTCAAGAGCCACATGTTGGTCAGGTCTGTCCCATAAAACACTACAGGGAAGTTTCACCAGATTCAGAAATCTCCCAATATTGACACTGGTGGAACAGTTCCAAAGAACATTGGTAAAAGCAAATGAAGACCATGTCTTCTTTTGTTTTTAACTTGCTACTGCTGAATTTGTGCAAGAAAAGATGGAATCAAAATCCAGTAAAATTAATTGTTCTGAAGGGCAGAACAATCTCTGCAACGTAGCACGGAGACAAAAAGAGTGAAAGTACAGGAAAAAATCTGATACAGGAATTATAAACCCAATAATTAACCATTGCTCGATTCTTCATCAAAATCAAAGTCTGAAAAACAATTTGTGTACTTCCTAAAAGCCTTTATCATAATCTCTTGCAAATTCTGAGTATTTTTTAGTACCTGCAGGACTAGGCATGATCGGTGTTCCTGGTGGCCCCCCACCTCCTGGAGGACCCTAGAGAGAGCAGAAAATGTCATTTAGCATGAAAGGCAAAAAAATGAACACAGTACAAATTAAAAAAAACCCCACATGTATTGTGAGTATCATGAGTTACTCTGGTAAAAATATGCACATTTTCTGACAAGCTAGTGAAACAGCTCATCACAGATTAAGACAAGGTAATTGGTCAGCAAGCTCTGGCACAGACTTCTAATGTATATAGGTACACAGACCCATGAATATCCATTAGTCAATAACTCTGTGTCATGCTGGGAGTCAAGCAAGAGAAATACTTGGAGCAGGGCCTAAGACAATTATATTTAATTCCCTCAACCCCACTTTTATTACCACTGGTTTTCCACCTGGCATTTCTGTTTTGCCATACTCTGTTCACAGTCAATGGCTGAGTAAGCAATGTTTGCTAAGCATGAAACAAGGGGTGTCCTATGGGGACAGAAAAGACTAATCACTTTAAGAAAGACCTTTTTCCAGGCAGACTTGGTATCTCCGAGTGACAGACATCTTAATTCTGTCTGTATACTATCCAACAATTGAGATAACATCTGCATACATAATTTTTTTTCAAATGAATGACAAATGGATTTAAAAAGTCAGGATAATGCTGGGTACAGTCATATCACTTGCCTAGACTGCTACATAAAAGAGAAAAAAAAATAACCCCATCAAGGAGCATCTATTTCCTTCATTTCAGGTATTTCTGTGTTGCAGATCTGTTTATGACTAACGTCTGCACACAAACTGCTCTGGTTGGTAAAAAAATTTTTTAAGGTTCTTTAAAAAATCTCTCAAAAAAATTTAATTCTAAACATCTAAACAGTTAAGTAATAACAGAACCACAACTTCTTATTTCCTATGTTTGCACATCCACTAATATTTTTAAGTAATATGAAAAACTACAAACTTTTAATTTGATAAAAATGTCTGTGTCAATAAAAGTCAATAAATATCCATTTTCCATAACAATACAGTACAGACTGCTAAAAACAGATGATTATTTTCATTGCCATATAATTCTTATTATGCTTTTATCTCTTTTGTTGTATTTTTAAACTGCAGATGTACAGTTCCAGACAGGAACGTTTTCTTCAGTAGCACTGAATATAAAGACTTGGTTATTCCTGTCTGCTTAAAAGGACATTGCTGAGATTTGCTATAATTCACTGAGATATTTTGGAAGGAGGCAGAGAAGTCTTTTATTTAAAATAGACACTGTTTCTCCATGGACTACTTAAAATAACATTTCTTACAAAACATTTAGCAGTAATATACCAGTAAACGTTATTTTCCGATAATCAAACTCAGTAACGTATCAGTTTTTTGACTGATACCATTCCTCTGCAGGTTTGTACAAGTAGAATACTTGCAGGGGAAAGCATCTTTATCTGCCAGCCAGGGATCAGTTCACACTTAATTGCAGATCAAACAGGAATCTTTTAGCCCAGAAGTAGCAGCACATCCCTGCAGTCAGTCAACACATACACATACATACTATTTCCCCTCTCAAATCAAAACCGAAAGTGTTAGGATCAGAGTTGCCAAACCTTTCCGAAAGGCCTATTGAGCCCTCAGCAGTAAGGTCCCCACTGCTGCTGCAGAGCTACAGACTCCAAATTCAGAGTGACATATATGTGACAAATTCAGTAACATATATGACCCTCTAGACAACGTAGGCCATCACTTTTTATCCATGTACTTGTGCACAAAGATCACTAACTTGATTTTTTGAGGTTTATACATATTTTTACATATCATCACATAAAGAGGTGTAGAAAACTCTAACTGGACTTCTAATGGAAAAGATACTTATCTGCACACTACTACCTTTCACATCTAATTTTAAACTTGCAATTACTTTCATTGTTTGTATATTTTCTTCCCTTAGAAAGCTTCTTGGTTTCAAATACTTTCACTCTGAGAATATATTAATATGTAATGGAATTATTTCTCAAAAACAGTCTGATAAACTAAGCAGATTCAGTTCTCAAAGCATGTAGCTCCAGATGAAAAATTCTTGGGCTAAAAAGCTGCTTTAAGAGCTCTCCAGCCCCCATGTTGTCCCCAGATGCTTGCTCTCTTGGAACCTACTGCCCTGCAGTTTTGCTTATTTAGCTGTTTACATGGCTTGACTTGACACATTCCTTTTCCAAAATGTGGTGAGCTTTTCTCAAGCAAGACTGCTCTCTCAGCATCAGACAAAACCGGCACTGTGCAAGCATTTACGCCAGCAGGAGAAGATGTCAATCCTTGCCCCACCTCAGGTGCTTCACCACTATCCTTTGCTAGTGCCTGAGCTCCCTCTGCGAGTGTCCCTCCACTTCTTTTTGGTCAACTAAAGCGCTTCAGCAAGGACCTGGTTCTTTAAATGCATCAACCAACTTCAGTTGTTTTGGACAGAGAGGGTCACTCATCCAAGGAACTCCAGTGGCAGACCTGAAGGAGTGGGGCAGGCCTTCAGCAGAAGTGTGGGGACAAGGAATGAGGCAGCAACCTTTTCCGCTAGCATAGCTGGAGCTCACAGAGCACATCTGATCAGTGGATCAGGGATTTTCTCCAACACTTCTATCTTTAGTGTGTCTCACTGTTGCACCTTTGCACATCTTTTGACTTCCCTTCAATGTTGCCAACTAGACGTAACATTCCAGCATCAGTCTCATCATTGTCATTGAAAGAGGTAATATCACTTCTCCACTATTGCTGCTCCTCTATCTATACACTGAGACATGGTGATGCCCTCTTTTGCCCAAGTCATTTAACCCAGCTGACCTTCGACTTGACCTGAGCTTATAAACAGAGTCAACAACAAAAAACCCCTCTTCCCGACAGAGAGAAATTTATAAAGTTCTTCATTAAAAGAATCACTTTGGAGATCAGCAATTTGGACTGTTTCCATTAAACATGTGGCAAAATGAGCACCACAGTTACGGATGCTTATGAGAATCATAACCTCTTTCACAGCTAATTGTCTAAATAAAGGACAAAGGAAATTGCTTTTGTCCAAACAAAACAAGCTCATCCTTGAACTCATCCTTCAGCTTTAGATCTGCAGGGTCATCTCTCTTACAAAGACTGAAGAGAAACCTATAAGCAGCATGAACAGATGAAAAAATACTCATATATTGTCCTCATGGCTAAAGGCTTTCTATTTCCACATTCTGAAAGGGCTTCAGTTTTCATGTTGGTTAAAGTCAACGCCCTGCAGTTGTCTAATCTAGAGGTGATCAAAGACGAAATACCAGAAGAGGGGTCTACTGAAACCTGTCCTAGCAACAGAAATTTTGAATATAATATATAATAGATATACAATATATAATAAATATACAATAATAAATGTAATAATAAATAATAAATAATAACTGTATGGCAAATAATATACAATGTATAGTATATAATATTTTATTTATAACATGCAATATATAATATTATATTCCATATTCCATATTATATATTATATATAATTCTACCTTGATACCCTCTGACACCAGTACTAAGCATGTGGTAAAACCAGATTAAACAATATGCCTTAGAGGAGTACATCAGAAGTACAAATAATCCAAGTACAGTAGTAACAACGATAAAGAGACTAAAAGGATAAACTAAGTCAATCCTTTGTGATAGAGACAAAAACTACCAGTATATGCTCAGACAAAAAACCATTTTGTTGACAGGTAAATTTTATTTGTTAATTCCA